ACTTTTGAGCTAGTTCTGCTTAGGAAAGTAGTATCAATTAGTAGAATATAGTGACAAGACTAAAGACCTGTAGATGTTACATATAAAAGAGTAAAAATAAGAATGAGGGTGCATAAAACAGACAAGCATATTTGCTTGGCTAGAGCATAAAGTCTGAGAATAATTTGTAAAAGGTTATACAAGAGGCAGGAAAGAAGTATGGCTCTGAAGGGTTGCCAAAGGACTTTGGGTTCATATATTTGATAAAGTTATATAGGAAATATAGAGTTAGTATACATATTTACAGAAAGTTACATGATGAAACATTGTTTGTATACCTTTATTTTAAAATAAAGACCAAGGGTCCATCTGGGAGTTTCCTGCAATTGGCCTAGAATGATGTGAATTGGGTGAAACCAAAAGTGATAATTAATGTGGAACCTGCAGGACTTGAGGTTACTGAGTATGAAAAGATGAGAGGAGTAAAAATTTCACCAGTTAAACAACCGACAATTTCAAGAAGAAAAAAAATCACTTTTTCTTAACAGTTCGGTTAAAAAAAAATAAAACTTATGAGAAGTAGCATCCTATTTGTCACTGAATGCTACCTTAAAAAAATGTGCACTATCTTAAACTAAATAGTAAAATTCCTTTGCTTTGTCTTTGGTAAACACCTGAGTATAACAATAGTTGGATGGAGCATTATCATGCATTCTCCTTTTATTGGGGCTACCCCCGATTACATTTGTCTTCATATCCATGTAACATGTGATTCTTATAAATGTTAACAGTTGAAAACAAACAGCTGGCTGAACTCTCTGCTTCAGTCTTTTGGATAATTTGCTTCTTGGTGAGTGATCAGTATTTTGATACTGCCGTAGTAACAACAGGAAATGATCTGTTAAAATCTGGATGGCCAACTACTGATCAATGCCAGGGTAAAGAGGAGAGCTAGTCTCAGAATAAAGTCTATAAAAACAGTTTGGGGAATTATTTCCAGGACCACAGGAGGAGAATCGTAATTTGCTCTCAACATTGGAAAAGCAAATGCCTAGTGGAAGAACATCTTAGGGTGATCACAGAACTGCATCAATGGGAAGCTGACAGCCACAAATGCAGTACTTACTAGTAAAAAGACTGCCATGGTAAACGCTAGGGCTACAATTACACATGATGTGAAATACCAATTTCTGAAAGAAGAATTCACTTAGAAAAAGGTTTCATAAGCAGGTAGAACTCTCCTAAAATTGGTCTAGATCAGGGGTGGGCAAATTTTTTGACTCGAGGGCCACAATGGGTTCTTAAACTGGACCGGAGGGCCAGAACAAAAGCATGGATGGAGTGTTTGTGTGAACTAATATAAATTCAAAGTAAACATCATTACATAAAAGGGTAAGGCCTTTTTTTTTTTAGTTTTATTCATTTCAAATGGGCCGGATGATCTGGCCCGCGGGCCGTAGTTTGCCCACGGCTTGTCTAGATAATAGTACTAAAAAATAATTTTAACTTTTCAGTTGGCCATTGACTATAGACTTTTTCTTAGATTTATAGTTGGGGAAGATCTAATTAATTAGCCTTTGGATTTGTGCTGATATAATAAATCATTATCATGGATAATTAATAAACTAATCCTCAAGGATTTCTTCTTCTTCATCTTCCTCTCTCTAAGGCTTTCTGGACAGCACTGCACAGAAACAGATGTGACTAAATGGCAGACCACAATGCAAATTTTGCAAATTTTATCATTTTAAAAAGGCACCTAATTAAATAAACCAATTACCAATAATTCAATAAAAAATAATACATAAGCCATTTTATTAAGAAGTTTATAGTAACAATTTTCTAAAACACTAGAAACATCAAATATTTGTATTTGAGTCATGAAATTTTATTTGTTATTGTTTTTAATCCTCACCTGAGGATATGATTTTCTTGATTTGAGAGAGACATTGATCTGTTACCTCCTATGTGAGCCCTGACTGGGATCAAACCCACAACCTTTTGGTGTAAGGGACAACGCTCTAACCAAATGAGCCACCTTGCCTGGGTAACTCATAAAAATTTATACTCATTAAATTTATGCTGCAGTGTATTAATCTGTACTAAATTAGTAGTCATAATGGCTAGAAGAACAGAAGGCATTGTGTCAAATTATTTTTCAAGAGTTGTCCATGTTTTAATTGTTGGAACCTTTTAAACAAGAGTAAATGTACCAAATATCACTTGATACCAAACATACAAATCACCTGTTTCAAATTAACTGTTGTTACTTAGATATAAACAATGACAGTCTGGATTCAAGAACAGGCATGAAAAGTGAAATAACTAGCTGATATTTCAATAGTCTTTCTTTCCGAAATTCCACCTCCTTCACAATGTCTATTTAGCTTTACCTCTAATTTCCTGGACAGGAAGTCAATTCTCTTCTCCTCTGCACTCCCATTCAGCAATTCGAGGTATTACCACTCTAATTTCTCATTTGGTTGTTTAGAGGACTATTATTTCCCCTAGTAGGGCTGAAAGTAACTAGAAAGCAAGGTCCACATGAGATTTATCTTAGTTTCTTTATTACATCTAATTCAACACCCACTATTTATTAGTTTGATGTTTTTTTAAGAGTTGTCTATATGCCCAATCGGTATGAATCAGTGGTTCAACCTCCAGCCCGGTCAGAGAGTGCACAGGAGGCAACCCATCGATGTGTCTCTCTCACATTGATTTTTTTTTCTCTCTCTCTCCCCACTCCTTCTTTCCCTTCCACTCTCTCTAAAAAAATCAATGGAAAAAAATATCCTTGAAGATTAACGACAACAAAAATTAGTTGTCTATTAGTGTTCAATAAACTACGATGTTTTAAAATTCCAGTTTTATGCAGTTTCTTGTGACAATACTTCCTCAGCTAATAAACTGATTTAAAAGTTTTATACTTAGATTAGATGTAACATTTAAAAATTCAAATCTTATAAATGCCATTTAATACTAAAAAATGTATACTCATTACAAATGAATCAGTGAATTTGTTGTTTCATTAACTGTTAAAATGGCTTTTTAATCTTTGTTTTTAATTCTCAAATCCTACACAGTAAGAAATAAATTTATCCATGTTGTTGCATGCATTAATTGTTCATTCATTTTTATTGCTCAGTAGTATTCTACTGGATGGATATACCACAATATTTCTATTATCCTTATTAATCAATACTGTGCTATTTTCAGTTTTGAGATGTTACAAATAAACCTACTATGAATATTCACATACAAGTCTTTATATAAACATACGCTTTCTTTTCTTTTGGGTAAATAACTAGGAGTGGAATGGCTGGGTCCCATAATTAAGTGCATGTTTAAGAAACTACCAAACTGTTTTCCAAAGTGGTTATGCATTACTTACATCCTCACCAGCAGTGCGAGGTCCAGTTCCTCCTTATCTTTGCTAACCATTGCAATTGTCTTTTTAATTGCAGCCATTTTAGTGGCTATGAAATAGTATCTCATTATGGTTTTAATTTGCATTTCACTAATGTCCAATGAACTTTAGTACTTTTCACACGCTCATTTACAAGTCATATGTATTCCGTGGTAAAGTGACTGTTCAAATCATTTGTTCACTTTTAATTGGATTGTTTTCTTACTGTTGAGTTGTGAGAGTTCTTTATTCTAAATACAAATCCTTTGTCAGATAATCTGTACTTTCAAAAGAGAAATGCAACACTTTTAGATAATTATGCTTTGTTATTATAACACATAGTCTATCTGCACTTTAAATAATCCTTATAATAAGGTTAAGCATTATCTCTGTAATCCTTGGGTACCAAGTTTTCCCAAGCCTAATATTTAAGACTTCAGTCTCTCCAGTAATGCAAGAACCACCACGGAATTTTTCTTAAACAAGAGCCATCTGGAGAAGTTCTGTGGCTTAACACCCTCCCTAAAAGTGATATAGAAAAACAGTATGCAAAATAAAATCTACTCATTTTAAACCTTGGACAGAAAACATATTTAAGCTCCTCTAGTATCTTTTTTTTTAAAATATATTTTTATTGATTTCAGAGGAGAGGGAGAAAGAGATAGAAACATCAATGATGAGAATCACCAATTGGCTGCTTCCTGCATGTCCCACACTGGGATCGAGCACTCAACCCAGGCATGTGCCCTGACTGGGAATCAAACCGTGATCTCCTGGTTCTTAGGTCGATGCTCAACCACTGAATCACACCGGCCAAGCAGCTCCTCTAATATCTTTTTTTTCCCCTCTAATATCTTTTTATATATAAAGAATAATTTCATACATGAAAAAAATTTTCATGATACATATTTATCCCTTGGAATGTGTTAGTGTCAAGACACAAATCTAAAACTAACTCGTATAGCAGCACTAGAATTAGGATAACAGCAGATTATACTGGCAATCTCTGACATGGTATCAGGATATAGACAGCCCTAGTATCTCATGGAAGTAATTATGATACAATTGACAATATTCCCTAATCAGAGTGGTTCTCATCAGACACCTTATGCTAAGCTTATTTGACAGTTTTTTAAAAGGCCCAGTATTAAAAGAATAAGCTTCCTCTGGATTTAAAAACAAGGAATAATTTTGGCTCATTAAAGATAGTATCTATTGATAAAACATAGGCTTGTTCTCAAACATGAAGTAAAATTATTACTCTAATGCATGATCATTATATAAAATAATCACCTGGTTAGTAAAAAATTATGCAAATACTAAAATTTTCAGTTCAACTGGTTTTCTTTTGGAATGAGGAAAAATTTAATGATTGGCTTCAAATTTTTTATTTTATAATTGATTTTAGAGAGAGGAAGGGGAAGAGAAAGAAAGCGAGAAAGGGAGAAAAAAAAAACATCGATGTGAGAGAGAAACACAATCGGCTGCCTCCTGCAGGCATCCGGACTGGGGATCACACCTGCAACTGGGTATGTGCCCTGACTGGGAGTCAAACCTGCAACCTTTTGGCGTATGGGACAATGCTCCAACACCAGCCCGGGCTCAAATTCATTTTTAATATAAAATATGTGAGTGTTATTATATGTTAAAGAAAATAAAGATAGTATGACCCAAATATTATTTTTTAAAGCTAATATAAAATACTTTTCACAGCATACAAAAATTGTAAAACAACTGAGGATTTTTCAATAAAGATACCAGATATATTTACTGACCAGAGAAAACAAAGATATGTTTAATGACTTCTGTTTCCAGGTCACCTTATTGAACGATACATCATGAAATCAATAGTTGTACATCTAGGAAATTTACCAATGGAGCTCTCTTCCACTGGTGTATATATTTTAATTTGTCTCATGTGGGTGTCTCTTCCGTTTTGGTGATTGGCTAGAACAGCAATCTGTATCATGAATGTGCGAGTTGGCTTCTTATGGTTATCAGTTAAGGGAACATGAATCCAGCCACTTGGTTCCACCAATTCAAGTTGCTGCCAGGAAAAGAAAAGTCAGATTAGGTTTGTACCCAATGAATATAATTTATTATAATGAATACATTCTAAAGTTGACTTATCTGTGGATAGTGTCAGGTGGGTACTAGACTTATCAAGGTGATCATGTAACATATAAATGCTTCTATGTTGTATACCCAAAACTAATATAATATTGTATGTCAACTATAATTGAAAAATTACAAATTTTTAAAAAATAGAATAAAAAAATAAAGTTGAGTTAAAATTAACCTCTTGCTCATCAAGAGAATGACAGTATGATAATAACCATTACCAGTTACTGGACACTTTTACCATCGTCTATTTCTACAGTTGCTAAACACATTACACGTACCATCTTAGTAGGGAATCTTAGTGTTAGAAATAGACATGTATAAATGTATACATCCAATGGAAGACCATGTTGATAAAAGCAGGAAAATAATCTAACATGCTTCTGATATATTTTATTTCAAGAAATATGCCTAATACATCCAAAATCATACAACAATCAGATTCTATATAAATTATAAGAATATTAAGAGAAAATCAATTATTAAATAAGCATTAAACAAAGCTTTCTTTCTTGGGAATAATAAGTGATTTATCTAGTCTAGTTGATGATCTAAAATCTAGATTTTTAATGTTTTTAAATAAGAAATGATAGATTAATTTTTTAAATTTAAATTTTATTTTAAACAAAAGTCCAAACTGTCCTTACTTCACAAGGAAAGGTAAACCAACATTTCTAAAAGTTTTCCTAAAGTATAAAGTAGTTTCTAAAACATAAATATTGTTTTTTTAATTGCTTAATTAAAGGGTACAAATAAATTATATATGCAGCACAAAAAATATAGGTTTATCTTATCAAGACAGTCAAATGACAATGAGTGTCAAAAACTCTAACTCGGGGTTCCGTGAGTTACTCTAGAAAAACAATTATATAAAAGCCATGATATCTTCCTTTTTCTTCCTTTTCTTTTATCTTCTTTCATTCTTTTTCATTCTTGCTCTTCTCTTTCCTTCTTTATTCTTTCTTTGCTTTTTTTTTTTAAAGAAAGAGAGTGGGTAGAGATGGGGGCAAGAGAACTGTAATGATGTTAAGAAGGTAGTTGGTGTTCAAGACTAAATGATTTCCCCCTTTTAACTACAAAATATAAGAATAATTGAATCTCTACACCCATGGCATTTCGGTCAGTGACATTTTATAAACTTCCACTAGAACTAACTCAAAATGAGTGCATCAGAAACCAGATATACCTGGTTTGTATCACTAACCTTTTATTCATTCAGGCCACAAATAGTTATTGAGCACTTAAAATGTTCAAGGTATTGTTCTAAGTACAGTTAAAGCAAACAAAGCATGAACCCAAAGCCTATTTCAAACCTTAAAAAAAAAAAGCTTAGAAGCAGACAAACATCCTCTATGGCTTCATTCAATTTCTTCATGCATAAAGTAAAGGGATTGGACAAGTTATCATCCAATAGCCCTTCCAGCTCTGACATTCAATGAGTCTGACTAAAAGAAGAAAGATGTAGTAGGCAGATGCCCACATCATTCCCCCAAACCTGTGAATATGTTAACATAGCAAAAGGGACTCTGCAGATGTAATTAAGGTAAAGCTCTTGGGATGGAAAGATTATCCTGGATTACCTGGGTGGGCCCAAAGTAATCACAAGGGTCTTTAAAAGAGGAAGAGAGACAGAGATGTGAAGAAGTAAAGGCAGGAGTGATATGACCACAAGCCAAAGAATGTGGGCAGCCTCCAGAAGCTGGAAAAGGCAAGAAATAATTCTTCCAAAGAATGTACCTTGCTGACACCATGATTTTAATCCACTGGAAGCATTTTGGACTTCTCACTTCCAGACTGTAAAGTAATAAATTTGTGTTGTTTTAAGCCACTAAAGTGTGTGGTAACTGGTTATAACAGAAATAGGAAACTATTATAATAGACTAGAGGTCTGATGCACAAATTGGTGCAAGAGTGGGCCTTCCTTCCCCCCGGCTGCCAGCACCGGATTCCCTCTGGCACCCAGGACCCGGGCTTTCCTCGCAGCGACGGCTTCGTCTGGAAGGTCGTCCGGAAGGATGTTAGCATATTACGCTTTTATTATTATAGAATATACACGGGAGTTTAGAGGAGGGAGAAAGCACTTCTGGTTGAAATAATCTATTCTCCAGGTAAATGTATAATAATGAACAAAAAGTGAAACCAAGATTCTAAATTCAGCTCCTTAATAATGTAATGTTTTTGACAAATTTAACCATTATTTCTGACAGATATAATGTTATTTTTAGAGTATTTTAAACACCAGTGTACAAAAAGCTGTATTAAGATTTTATAACATATGTAACTTTTGGCATGATATATTCAGAATTATGAATGTAGTAAATTATTCAATAAATGCAATTAATTAACTATTTCTTCTGAACATATCATAAAGTTTATCGATCTCAATCATTAAAAGTACTATATATTACAAAGGATATATATATATATGGCTGTTAATGCCTCTCAGATGGCTACACCATCAACTATATTGCTTGGAAGTCATAAACACCAATTCATGTGTCTACTTCACTTCTATTGTGCCCAGTTTGAAATTCTCAGAGTCATCTCTATAAAGTTATTCTTTTTTTATTTAAGTTACTATTCTGATACTGCCATATTTAAACTTATTTCATAGATTTTTTTAAAAACCTCATGTACCTATAAATTTAAATTTTTGAAAATGATTAAAAGATTAAGATATTTGATGCAAAAATTTTTTTAAAAAATATTTTAAACAGGCCGAAACTGGTTTGGCTCAGTGGATAGAGCGTCGGCTTGCGGACTGAAAGGTCCCAGGTTCGATTCCGGTCAAGGGCATGTACATGGGTTGCGGGCACATCCCCAGTGGGGAGTGTGCAGGAGGCGGCTGATCGATGTTTCTCTCTCATCGATGTTTCTAACTCTCTATCTCTCTACCTTCCTCTCTGTAAAAAATCAATAAAATATATAAAAAAAAATATTTTAAACAGAAAATTAATAAAAGGCAAAATTTTGCCAAAATAACTTTTTTCCCCTTGCATTTCTGGTTGAACCTCAATAAATGAAAATCTCATCACCACTAAGATATATTTTTTTATTCCTTGTGTTCTTTCTGCCATCTCCCCCTTTTGGCTCCTTTCTCCACACAATCACTCATTTGAAAAGTTGTTGTTTTTTAATTTTTCACCTGCTAGTTGTCTGTATCCCATTCCAATCTGAATTTTGCGCCCGTGTTGTAACCAATCTTGTCAAAGTCACCTGTGACTCCTCACTTTGCCATATCAATTCTTTAATCAGCTTAATACTATATTCTGGATTTTCCTCATCTAATAATGTGCCTGACCAATATCTATTTGTATCTGAAAATTTTAAGGCTTTTAAAGCTTTATATAATATTGTAGTTTAAACATAGTTTTGTGTACAAAAATATATAACATGGTTTACTACAGATAAGTTTGTAAACGACAGAAAATAACTGGTAATTCAGTAAAGACATAAATTTAAAGATTGAGAAGTTAAGACTTATTAATGATAAGGCAATAGAATAATTGAAATTGTCCTATATAATTGTATCCAGACCGATGACTTCAGGTACCTCAAGTGGAAATATGCTGGTGATTTAAGATTTTATATCTCCTTTTTAAGAGGCAACTTCTTTTTTTTTTTAATCCTCACCCAAGGATATTTTTTCCATTCATTTTTAGAGAGTGGAAGGGAGGGAGGGAGGAGGAGAGAAAGAGAGAGAAACATCGGTGTGAGAGAGACACATTGATTGCTTCCCTCCCCGAACGTGCCCCAACCTGGGCAAGGGATCGAACCTACAACCCAGGTTCTGTGCCCTTGACTAGGAATCGAACCCGCAACCATTAAGTCTTCAGGCAGATTCTCTACCCTCTCAAAAACTGGCC